GCTCGATTCAAACCATTTGTCGATTTGACATGGAATGGCCCATATGTGAATTTTCGTGTGGTTCTACGTTTTCGTACTGATAAATTCAAAACCACTACCTAGGATTGTTCTATCTGAAATGTTACCAGAAGTTCGCGAAAAGCAAGGCCTCAAATGTGAAAATAGGTATGGCACTGGTTTTGACAACTTAAGTTAATTTTGACGTTTGACCTTCTCCATTGATGGATTTCCGTTTGACAGCCTATTGTCCTTCTTTGCGGACACCTCAGGAACAAAGTCGCTAGCCGGCAGCACCTGGGGAGCCGATAATGAAACCCTGCTCACGGCGTACAAAGTAATCGGCCCGCCAGTGGCAAATTACGCAGCGCCAGTGTGTTTGGCAGGAATGAGCGACATACAGTGGAGAATCTATAAATATACCAGAACGCAGCTCTACGTACGGCTACAGCTTACCATTTTATGTCGTCCGAGCAACATCTCCACGAAAAAAACCGGATGCTGGCGATTAAAGAGCACAACACCGTGCTATCGAAGCGGTTACGTGATATGTCACCGTGGAAACCACTCCAACAACGACTTGCTTCGGAAGGACACATCCCCGACACCTATATAGCTGGAGAGCACACACAGAGCCGGACGTAGACAATCCGTTCGGCGTAACGCGATACATATCTGCGCTCAGCAAGCTACACAGAGAAGCAGTCAGTACGAGCCACAGCACCCGCAAAGACAATCAGCCAATTCTGAATACTGCCCGTGAGTTTGGTCTCCGGGACTTGCTCCCGAGAACGATATCCTCCAATAATTAACTCGCAGGGAGTAGCATTTTCGACGAAAATTTGGCAGGAGGAAATTCGAACTTCGAAAGAGCTGTTTTACACTACAGCTAAACTCCGCCATTTAAAATAAGAAATCCTCAGGGAATTTTTATTCATGATAGGAGGAAAGGGCAAAGAGCGAAAACTGCCAGGGAAATTCTGTTCAGAATTGGCATAACCGAGAGACCAAGTGCATCGTAGCATAACTCTGTTCTGGGTGATGCCACAGACTCAACAGCTATCTGTATCGGCAGCACTAAGAAGGGCAAACACGAGACCGCCTCCCGGTTCATCGGTCTCAGTCTTGCAGAATCAAAGGACGAGGATGATGACTCATAACGGGGTTGGTACTGCTGCTACAACAACAAGAACAACAACCAATCGGTCGTCAGGTTTCATGGGATTGAGCGTAGCTTACTCACAACAGAGGTGCAACTACAGGACTTCAGACACTCTTCCCACTTCTTCTGCTTGTGGCTATCAGTTGCCCAATGTCCAAATTGAGATCTCAAATACTGGGATTGCCGTTATCGACGTGGCGAAGGTGGGTCAAATTGGGAACTGTGAACATGGGTTCCCCCTTGTCATACGTGCAAATAACGGAACTATAGCGGGTTGGATCAGTGTAAAAGCCGCCACTGGTTAAAAAAGCCACCTTATGACTTCACTTCAGAAGGCAAATTTAATTTTTGCAAACTTTTTTTTTGCATTTTTTCATAACGTACATTAGTGTTCGCCAGTTTAGTCTATTATAAACCGTTAAATCTTTTTGTATCGTACGCTTTGTGTTTAAAATTATTATTTTTTTAATTATGCCTTTTTTCTATAACTATTTTTCCATTAGTAATGGCTCTGATTTTCGCATTCATCCAAGTATGAAGTCCATATTTAGAATAATGCTAAGCAAAAACAAAAAAAAGAACTATAGTATCTAATTGATGGCTTTCAATATACATACATACTTGAATGTGCGTATGTATTGGTGTAGTGCTTACAAGCCCTAAGTTGTTTTTGTCGATTGAGCACAAACACAGGCTTCCATCTGCAATTGCTAGCAAGTAATTTTTAAGCAAAAAACACAACCGACTTCAATTCTCATACCTACAACAATTTAGAAGTACCGTTAATTTCTTCATAATCCAATGATCGGATCTAAACCAAATTAGTATGAAACCACCCAAGAGGCACTACCTTTCCGATAGAAAAAGAGTTATCGAAATCGGTTAATGTGGTCCAAAGTTATGCGGTAGCATATGTACATACATAAAAAATATTCCGATGAATTGATAGCCTCCCACTTTTTTTGAAGTCTGCTAAAAACACATATCAAATACAAATTGTAAAATTAAAAAAAAAAAAACATATAAATACACTGGTGACCATGTCATGCAGGTGTACTCCTATCAAAGACTTATAACTGACAATGTTTTGCAGCGGGCACTTATAAAACGTCCATTGTAGGAAAGTGTCGTTTGAATGTCAGCAATGATCATGCAGAGGCCATCAATGACCAAATTACCATTTCTATGAAAAAGTGGTGAACGACTTCCGTATAAACGGAGCCCAAAGTCATTCCATTCCAGTGCTTTTCATGCTTTCAGAACTTTACTCAGCTTTAAGTTTTATACTGCGGCATGAGTGCTGAAAGCTCTAAAGCCTAAAAGACTTGGTCTGCAGTTCTACTCTTATTTCCACCTAAGCTGCCGGTCTGAGAAAATACCGATATTGCCATTCTGTCAGGTAAATAACCTCTAACTGAATCTGGTAGCTGCTTGACTATTTGAAAATTATTCCAAAAATGCCACCTTTAAACCAAATTTAAATTTTGAGACATCTCTAAACATAGGTACTCCGAAGCTTTATTGTGAATGAAACAAACTTTTTATCAGCCATCCTAGAAATAAACTTTTTGTGAATGAAAGATTGTCCCAGCGTTCTTTGACCACTTGAGTTGTCTGATCGCCATTGGCCATTGCTAAATCCGCCGAGTGCTTTTCTGGAAGGTAAATTGAATTCTATAATATTGGTCCATCTCATTCAAAGATTTCAGTAAAGGCAATTTGTATTGTCTATGCCTAACTGTCCTAGAAGATAAAGACTCCTTTTCTCCCTGTAGGTCTTTGATCTAGGCTCCGTGCTGCTTTCTGTATTTCTTATTCTCGAGCGAATAGACCCAGCGAAGTTATTGCATTTAGGGCGTCATCTATGATCGTCTTCTTATTTGGCGCTGTAACCGCCTAATCGATTTTGGCCGTCTGCGGTACTCGCCGTCGCCAACGCGTAAAGGCCCGTAAATCTTCCGCAAAATCTTTCTCTCGAATAGTCCAAGACCCGCCTCATCGGATGTTGTCATTGTCCATGCTTCTGCGCCATATAACAACACGGGCATGATGAGTGACTTTACTCCCGAATTTCCTACTCAGTCCAAAGTAGCATTTGTTGGCAAGAGTGATTTCACGTTGGATTTCTATGCTGACATTGTTTTCGGTGTTATGATGGTTCGAAAGTAGAGGAAATTCTTTACATTCACGAAATTACTGTTTGTTTGATGACAGGAGATACCTCGTTGACCGCCGGACTCATTCGCTTTGCTTCTCTATCCAACTAGGAAAAGCCGGTACAGACTTCGCGGTTATTGCTACCGATGTAATCCGCATACGCCAGCAATTGCACGCCCTTGTAAAAAAGTATTCCTGAGCGGTTCAGTTCTGCAGTTCTTATTATCTTCTCCAACATCAGAAACGGCTTGGAGAGGTCTTTCCCAATTCTGATGGAGCTGGTAGTATTGCTCGACGTCATTTTATACAGCCATATCAGTTTCGCGGGGATGCCAAACTCAGACAGAGCTACCGAAAGCGGCTTTGAATTCGATAAATAGGTGGTGGATAGGTCGATTCTTCTCTCGCGGATCTTTGCCAAGATTTGGCATATTGTGAATACCTCATCTATGATCCAGTGCCTCTTTTTTATCTTTTTTAGACTATTGAGCGATGCTGATTCCATGAGTGCAGCCCAACATTGCGTTTCTTAGCATCGGCACTTGGCCGGTATAGTAAAGAAAATTTTCTAGTTTTTTTTACTTTCTGTTCAGTTAATTCGAAGTTTATATAAGGCGGAATAATATCTGTGGGAACTTACTCAGAACCACTACTGCAACATCGTCCACATACGGAATTACTTTGTGTACATTAGCCTCCAAGAGCTGCAAAAATTGGGTCAATGTCATGTCACATAGGAGCGGAAGAGGCCCTCTCCCTGAACGGTATCTCCGAATCAAAACCTTCACTAGCTCTAAGTTCACGTCTCGGTGTTCGGCAGTAAGCCCTGCCAGAATTGGCGATTCGAAAAGTTGTCATGGATTATTTATGTAACTGTGCTGAGGGAGTTAAAAACAATTTTGACATTGAAAACAAAAAAATACATAGTATACATACATATACATCACATTATAAGCGACTGCAACAAAGCGTTTTTTTTGTCTATTTATTTCTACTCGTTAATTTACCTACAAGCATGCACACATACATATATACATATATATGTATATAATTGTAGAATATCGAAAATAAAATAATTAGCCAGCTTTAATTGAAGATCCCCAATTAACTAATCAGCCTTTACCAGCCAGCTATGTACAGAAAAAAACAAAACACCTTAAACACCCTGAAAGATCGTGTCGTCTTAACGTCAGGTTGTCGACAGCATTGTCAGTACTTAAAATGTTGCTTGCATTCGTTTAATTAGCGATCAGTAGCTTTGGCACTCTGTCTTGCACACAGCCAGCATCAGCTCGCATCCCGATTATGCTGCTCCTCGATGGAGATTTTGCTTCAAAATGCCGGCAATATGCAAACCAAGCGCTCAAATTCGCTAGTCAACAAACAGGTACACGCCAACAGCTGTCTAGAACGGCGCCGGCGGCAGCAGCACCACCACTACCACCACTACCACCACCACCACCACCACCACAACCACCGAAAAAACGATTCCCAACCAAAGTGTGTGAGAATAGACAAAAACACAGCAGCGATAATGATGATCACCGGAGCCGATGAGCAGCCCCCCATTCGATCGATTTGAATGCGCCGAACAGCTATTTAGGTAGGTTGGGGTGGGGGGAGGGGGGCGATGATAAAGCCGGCGACGACGACAAACTAGACAGAGCAGCACGTAAATGGGCGCTGTGCTACGGTTGGCTAAGCCAAGCCGAGTTGATGATTTTCCAATCGTCAAAGCGGAGCTCAGTTCAATTGCTGCAACTTGTGACGGTGGACGTGCGAAGCGGAAGAAGTTACGTAAAGCCACAGTAAAGCGCGCGTATAATAAATTAAAGCACAGGCACAGACACATTACAACTTGTTTGTGCATTCGTATTTACATACATACAAACGTACATAGGAATTTTTAATATTGTCCTATTGAAATAGTAGTAAAGATTTATTTTTTTTTTTTTTTGAATTCAAAAACAGTAGGAAGATCGCCAAAACCAGTCAGAATTAAAAGCTGGCAAAAATTTATTCGAGTGAATTTTCAAACTGCTACGAAAGTGAATTTAAATTATTATTTTTTTGTTTAAGTTTAAAAGGCGTTCTAAATACTTGTGTCAGCGTGAGAAACTTTGAACGCCAAAAAGCAGCGGAAAGGCAAGTGCAACAGTCATAGTCGTTGACTCAAGATTGGACGGCGATGCAGCGGCAAAAACATTAACAAAAAAAAAAAAAAAAACTACTTAAAAATATAAACTCGGCGACAAACCGAGAACCAGAAAAACGAAAAACGGAAAGAAACGCAAAAACCAAAATTAAGTGCAAATTAGGGTGCGCAATTATTAGTGAATTTTGTGGGAAACGCACTTTTTTGCTTTGCTAAAAGAAGATATTAAATAGACATTGGCAAGAAGGTTTGTTGTGGCTGCTGAAAATCGGCAATACAAACCTAAAACATTTTGGTAAGCTTTTTTTTTTTTATTGGGTTTCTCATGTAAATACATATATTTTTTAAGGTCTAGAACCTGTAAATGTTTTTCTTTCAAATATTTTAAACGAAAGTTAGGTTGGGTTGAAAGTGAGTTTTAATTACGAAATAAGAAAAGTTGTTAGATTTTTCATAAGCTGACCACCATGAACTTTTTCGTATCGAAAAAGAAAAACTAATTTTAGTTGGAATATTTCTCATTCTTCAGTTTGGAAATTTTTATTTTAAATATTAACTCAAATTTTTGCTTATATGTATGTATGTATTTTTTCTCATACCGATTAATTTTGACTGCTAAATTAAAAAGTTAAAAATAAATTTTTAAATTATTAAGTAATAATTTGTGTACTCCCTTGAACAACAAAAAACATTAAAAACTCGAAAATCTCTAAGCTTTTGCTACAAATGATTGAAAAATATATATGGAAAGTTTCGAATTTTCTACTTTTTCGCTTAAAAAAAATCCACTTAACTAATTTTCAACTTATAAAAAGCGGTTTATGTAGTTTCCAACAAAAAAAAAAAAATTAAAAATAAATTACATACTTGCCTCCGAAATTTTGTTCTCTGAAATGCTGTTGAAATATTTTTTCTGTTTACTGGGTTCTAGTTTGGTTCGCCAATATTTTTAGCGCATACGTCATTTATTAATTACATTCGCTTTATAATTATCGGCGCTTTTTATTTTATGTATGTTTTTATTTCTACAACAATGCTTAAACATATTTTGTAACGCATCGCACGTTCGGAGTCCATAAGCTGGCGTGGACAGCGGCATATCGCAGCACTACCACAGTGTGGCAAACTATATCAAATAAAATACTGTTTTTTTTGCTCTCAAATAGAAATTTTATTGTCAATCACAAAAAAAAAAAGATTGTAGCAAAATTTTACGCTTCTATCTTCATTTTTCAGTTAGCGCTAACAAAAATGAGAATTTTCAATGAAACAAATTTTTTTCGGTACTTTTTTTAACGTCTAATTGAGACTGATTTGTGTAATAATTTCATGTTTTTTGCGACCAGTGAAATTGTGTATGTATATATTTTTCGTTAGGTCCAAGGACACCCTGTCAACATTCGGACTCATTTTATAGCGAGAAAAGTATCAGAATTATAAGGCGTACCTCTCGAAAAAGAGTCAGAAAAAGTATATTTTCTTTTTAAGAAGGGCACGCCAATACGAGTCCAAGTTAGGAGTCATATTACGTTTTCTGAGTGCTAAAAAAATGAGTTCTTTATAATTCGGATTATTAATAAACTTTTACTTCTACGTGAACTTTGTTGTCTATGTTCAACTTCGAATTTATGACACTAAAAGAGTCCGAAATGAGTCAGTCTGGTTGACCAGTTCCACAAACATATTTATGGTATGTCGAAAGAATGGATCATTTTGGACTCATACATTTTGAGCGCTCCCACAACAAATTTCGATTGTTGAGGTACTTTTTACACCCAGATTGCAATGAAGTTCAAGACATTTAAAAAATGCAATAACAGCTAAGTTTATAGTTGGTTAATCGGTGTTCACATTAGGAGATTTCTCAGGCAACTTTAGAAGCAATTAGTTGAATCAAAAGTTGGCTAACCCCAACCTTATTGGAAGCGATTAGCTGAAAGTCCGTTCATACCAGGCGATTGTTGCTTTCAACTAATAGTTGCTTGTGAGATCGCCTCATGAAAACACCGTATTATCTTGCCACAATTCACATGGGTCGGCTTCATAGGAAAGAGAAAATAACCGTCTAATTTTTTAATTCTTTTGGGTATGAAGATTTTAATTAGGAAGATTCATTCTTTTATACAATTATAAACCTTTATAATATTATATAATCGTTATAGTTTTTTTCGATCACATTATTTACAGTGGCTCAAACCAGTGTTCACGCGTTGATTTTTTTTAAATTCACAATTTTTCAATTAAAATTTTTTGTTATATTTTTATGAAAATATTATTCATGCTTTAACCATACAAAACCAATTTAGAAGAATTCAACAAATTTGCATCAAAATTAAATTTTTAGTAAAAGTGTTGTTTATGCTTTAACCGAACCCATATACACCAAAATTTCCAACATTATCCAAATTAAAAAAAAAACTCAAAAAATGTTCATCAAAACTTTGAATTTTCTAATCTGAACATTTTAGAACATTTAGGGCAAAAAAAAAATAAAATATTCTAAAATTTTCAGTACAAAAATCTGTAGTTAACTGCCGATTCTGAGTTAACTACGCACTGTGAATTCGGCCCTTATAGCCCATAAAATTTTTAGGGGAATAAAGTACAAGTTTAATGAGGCTAAAAATTTCGTAGATTTTTTATTGATGACGGTTTTTGTCGTTTTTTTTTTGTAACAAGCGAAAAGTGCAATAAATCTGTTCGCAAAAAAAATGTTTTTAAATCAACGCACTTTCTTAGCAGCTTCAGACTTGCACTTTCTTCTACTTAAATGTTATGGGCAAGAAAACTGCGTATCAAAAATTGTTCTAAAAGTGCAGATTAAAATATTAAAAATTTTTAACAAAATTTGTTGATTTTTTTCTAAATATGGAAAAGTTAGCAATTTTGATTAAAATGGTTTTGTTTAAATCATGAACAATATTTTTATAAAAAAAAGTAAAAAAAAAGATTTTAAAAAACATTGTGAATATAAAAAACAAATCAACATGTGAACACCTTTCTTGAGTCACTGTATGTGCAATAAACATTTTATTTATTTTTTGTTGATATTTTGAACTGTGCGTTTTTTAAATTTCAAAATTTTTAATTTTCAATTAAAATTAATAACTGCTGTTTGATATGCACCCACTGTGCAACATATGTAACGTAGCCGCACGCATAGACAAAAGTGAAACCGGATTTGTTATTGCTTTACCTTTGCGGTGCAAAAATATGGTTGTATGTATTATAAAATAGAAATAAGCGTAACGATAAATCGACGCTACTGCTCCGCTGACCGCGTTTGTTTCCACCTTCTCATTGCACTTCCTCACACCACACTTACCATTTATCATTTTTTTTATTTACTACTTTCCATGTCTTCGTAATAATATAGACCAGACGCGCGTTGCAATGATTGGCAGTTCCCCTGGCCATTGGATGGATCGTATGGCCATTAAGGGATCTTTGTTTTTAAAGTTGTTTTGTATGTAGAACTATGTTTTTTTTTTTTACTCTACGGTTACATATTTATTGCTGTTTTTATTTATTAATTATAAAAAAAAAAACACCACAAAGAAGCTGTGTTAAGAGAAAAATGTGCTACCATAAAACAAATGTCACTTGGCAATCAATCAAAACATTTGGCAGTGATGCATGCAGCCCATGCACTTATCTGCAGATATCTGCACTTATCACTGCACCACTTCCGTTCTTAGAAAGGGATAACACGCACTGAGTGACCAAGAAAAATATCCTTTAACCAGTTAAATCATTTGCATGTTCGAAAGAGCCTTTTCAATGAAAATAATTAATTACTATTAATTTTAAATTTTTTCCTTAAATTTTTACTGTATTCGCATGTCTTCTCAATGCATACTTATGTACTTAGATAAGTGGATTGTCATTCAAAAGCACTTCTTTGGAAAAGTATTATCCGCTAATGCAGCTTATTAATTAATTGCAATTAAACCTTCAAATTAGCTAAGAAGAACTCAATAACCGGATAATCGACTGAGCTTCGCAGCGCCAAGGTGCTTCAAACAGCTTTAACGATAATGTATTCATAACGAATGAAGAACGAAGTGATTAATGAAACTCTCGAGAGCACAATTTGACATTAAGAAGTTGCAAAAATAACAACCTGTTTGGATTCTGAATTTTCAATGTTCGTTCTAGAAATTATTTATGCGTGTGCATACTTTTTTTGAAAGCTCATTATTAACGAACTTAAATCGCATGAAATCCAGTTTGATTTTTTTTTTTTTAATAAATTTTAATACGAGTTCATTTCTAGCAAGCTCATCGCCAGTAATTTTGGAAAAAAAACACTTGTTAGTTGGTGGTAACGTTACTTTATTTTATTTTTTCATTTTCTAAGCTACAAAATACTCAACAAAACTTCTTTCTCTTACATTTGTATTTACAGTCAGTCAATTAAGTTTAGGTACAACGAATTTTTTACAATACGGGCAACTATTTTTTAAATATTTTATTTTTCGCTATTTTTTTTATAAAAATAGAGTTAATTCTACAACAAAAACCCCAAAAAAAAGTTCCAAACCCAGTGCAAAATTAAAGAAAATTCTGCAAATTTTCATTCAAATATTGCAGTTTTTATTTACGATCTCTAGAAAAAAGTTGAGTATGCAGTTTTTTAGCCCATTCAATTCTAGTATAATAACGTGCAAGTATGAGGAAGGTAGGACTTACCATCGATTTTTGGGAAATTGTTTTGTTGAAGGTGTCGCACATTTTTTCCATATAAAAAAAATTATCAAACATTATTTTATATGGAGAAAATGAGCGACACCTTCAACAAAAAAAATTTCTAAAAATCAATGAAAAGTCCTATCTACCCCAAACTTGCACTTTGTTATACTAAAATTGAATGGGCTAAAAAACTAGCTAGAGAGCGTAAATAAAAGTGCAATATTTGAATGAAATTTCGAAAAATTTCTTCAATTTTGCACAAGGTTTGGAACTCTGATTTTTCAGTTTTTTGTTATAGAATTAACCATATTTTTATAAAAAATTATCAGAAAATAAAATATTTAAAAAATAGTTGCCCGTATTGTAAAAAATTCGCTGTACCTAAACTTTATTGACTGACTGT